TCCTCGGGAAGAGCTTCCCAGCCCTATGAGATGTGACTCTGAGAGCCACCAGCACTTTCACTGCACCTGAGACATGTTTTAGATTATTTTAGCTAAGATGCATTGCAGAGTGATGGCCATGTGATAGGCTTCAACATACAAGAAGCATGATTAACATGAGCCTTAGGCCTAGCCAGCTTCCAGAAGGGAGTACAGACATTTAAGAACCAAGATGATCCCTTGTACACCTGAAACTTACATAATATTGTAAATCAACTATACCTGCATAAAAAAGAAAAAAAGAACCAAGATGATCCTAAGATCACTTTAGACTGAATTGTTTCCTTCTGAGAGGCCGGGGACAAAGCACAAACCTCACTGTCTCTGTTTTCTAACCTCTGAACAGGGAGTAATAACACCTTTGTTTATGGGAGTTCTCAGGAACAGTGATGAGTGAGGTCAATGACTGGTATGTAAATGTTGCTCAATCGATGTTCCATAGTTTTTCTTGCTGTTATGCAGATTTTTGAACTGAATTTCAAATAATTGGGTTCATTCCTAGAAAATAGAACCTATCAAAATTAGATACCCTTCAATAAAAACAATGAAAACATAAAACAAGGGTGAAGTGGTGAGAATAATTGTTGACCAATGACATTCTCTCTGAGGAGGTGGGATTAAAGAGGCCCTCATGTAGCCTTGGATCTGAGCCACTTCGTGAGGTTGGGAACAGAGGCAGGAGGCCCAGGCAGGAGACTGCTGCAGGGGTCGGAACTAGAAGCTTACCAGACAATGAATTGGGCAAGGGGTCTGGAGTCCAGCTTTCTAGCCGTGCCCCATCCAGTAACTACAGGAGAGTCAATTCCTGCACTTCTGTCTCCCTTATCCTTTTAGTCGTTGGTACTGCTCAGTCATTTGCCAGTCAAACGTTTATACTGCTCTTCTCAACATGTGCTCCTTCAAGTTTGGACAACATTACAACTTAGTTCTGACTTCATCGAGATCCCACAGAGTGAAAAACAGAGAGATTGACCTTGCTAATGTGGGTGGGCCTCATCCAATCAGCTGAAGGCTTTAGGGCAAAATCTGCAGTTTCTCAGAGAAGGCGTTCTGCCTCAAGACTGTAACAGAGGAATCCTTCCTGAATCTCCAGCCTATTGGCCAGCCCTACACACCCCACACTCAAGACTGCAAATCAGGGCTTCCCTGGTGACACAGTGGTTAAGAATCCACCTGCCAATGCAGGGGCTATGGGTTCGAGCCCTGGTCTGGGAAGATCCCACATGCCACGGAGCAACTAAGCCCGTGAGCCACAACTACTGAGCCTGCGCTCTAGAGACCGTGAGCCACAACTACTGAAGCCCATGCACCTAGAGCCATGCTCCGCAGCAAGAGAAGCCACCGCAGTGAGAGCCCACACACTACAACAAAGAGTGGCCCCCGCTCGCCACAACTAGAGAAAGCCAACGTGCAGCCACAAAGACCCAACACAACCAAAAATAAATTAAAATTTTAAAAATAAATAAATTTATTTTAAAAAAAAAAGAAAAGACTGAAAATCACCTCTCACCTATGGTTTGCCTTACAGATTTAGGACTTTCCAGCCCTCACAATTGCATGAGCCAGCTTCTTAAAATAAGTCTATACCTGTATCCAAAAAAAATTCTCAAAAAGTTCTCTTCTTGTTGGATCTCCTCTGTAGTGTTTTTCTTGGAAAAATATCTTTCTTTTTTTATGGAACAAACAGAAAAAAAAAAAACACAAATGAAACAGCCAAGGCCTTCAACTTCATCTTTGTCCCCTCATCTGTAGCAGGGTGTGTTCCTACTACCATTTGCTCTGTTCCGAGATTGTTTGCTTTGTGATTGTATTCGGTAATGCTACAACAGAGCCTGGAATGAGAACACAATCATGGGAATTCCCTGACAGTCCAGTGGTTAGGACTCTGTGCTATCATTGCCAAGGGCCTGGGTTCAATCCCTGGTCGGAGAACTAAGATCCCATAAGCTACACAGCATGGCCAAAAACAAACAAACAAACAAACAAACAAAATAAAACAAAATCATAACTGATTCAAGATTAAAATCAACACGATATGTGTAAATATGTATAAAGCAAAATGCTGATATTCCATTTGCTATTCATTAATCTACAGTCATATAACTGCAGGAAGGATTTTGTATTAGGGAAAGAGCTGTGAAGCAGAGAATTTGATTTCTAGTCTGCCATAATCCTAGGCAATTTAAACAATCTCCCTTTTCTCTGTTTATTTGATTGTGAACTACTGCTTGATGATCATATGTAGTCATAGTTTTAACGAACATAAAATGAAGTAATGTTATAGGTTGTGTCACCCAAAAGATATGTTGAAGTCCTAACTCCCGGTATCTCACAATGTGACTTTATAAATAGGATGTAATTAGCTGGAGGTGTAATTAGTTAGGTTGAGGTTATACTGGAATACAGTGGGCCCTTAGCCCACAATGACTGGTGTCCTTATAGAAAAAGGAGAGACAGACTCACAAGGAGAACAGCATGTGATGATAGAGGCAGAGACTGAAGGCTGCAGCTACAAGGCAAGGACTGACAGGAAACCACCGGAAGCCAGGGAGAGGCAAGGGAGGGGTCTCTCCTACAGATTTCCAGGGGAGTATGACCCTGCCAACATCTTGATCTTGGATTTTTAACCTCTAGAACTGTGAGATGATAAATTTCTCTTTTAAGCCACCCAATTTGTTGTACTTAGAAATAAGATAAGGGACTTCCTTGGCAGGCCAGTGTTTAACACTCTGCGCTTCCACCGCAAGGGGCACGGGTTCAATCCCTGGTCAGGGAGCTAAGATCCCGCATGCTGCAGGCACAGGCAAAAAAAAAGAAGAAGTAAGATGATAAAATTTTTGAAAGATACAACACCCTGAGTGAAAGGTGTCATGGTGCATTTACAAATATGGGGCATTATATTAGTAAACAAAGGACACGTGTCAGGCACCACAATACATGCTTCACTTGTGTCATTTCATTATATTATCACAATAACCAAACGAGGTAGGAATACTTTTATTCATATTTTACAGCTAGTAAAAGCATGACACAGACAGCTTAGATGCTTACCCAAAGTCACATTGCAAGTAGATATAGGCTGTTGTGGGAACACCATGACGTTTCTTGCTCTTAAGGACTTTAAAATCTAGTAGATAAAAATTAAAATATATGCATGTTAATTTAGCCATTCATTGGTTTTGTTTCTAATGTTTTTCCACTTGAAATACTACTGAAGTGATTCAACAAGGGGATTGAAAGAGAGAGGGGGGCTGAAAAAGAGAGACAGAAAAAACATGTATTGGGGCAATGAAATCCTCAGCAGACGTAAGAAATATTAAGTACAAGCCTACTAGGTTCTCCATATAATCATCACATATGAGAAGAGTTCAGTTGCACAATCCCCAGAGTCATATCAACATTCTGGTTTGAGGTGGTTTTCTAAGTTAACGTCATTTTTTTTCTTGGAATTTCTCAAGTCTTTGTGGATTCTGCACATAATCGCCTCCCTCCCATTTTCTGTGGTCACCCTGGTGGCGAGCAAATATGGGTTAAATGAAAAAGATCTTTCCCTTCATGATGAAATGTGAAGGAGAAAAAAATTACCATGTTACCGAAAATCTTTTCTGCATATTTTGTTGTGTTTTCTTTTTTAAACATTCACAATGTCTAGGACTGGACTTTGGAAGTTATCGTTGTCTTGGCTGTGCTAACCCAGCCTCTCAGCCAGTCCCTCCCCACTGCATCTCACCCTCCACTCCTGCCAAGAGGAGGAGAGACAGAGATTAATATCTGCTCCTACCAGCCATTTCTTTTAAAGCTCTTCTATTATGGCCTTTCTCATCCACGGCCTTCCACTTGCCTAACTACAACTTTTCTTTGAATTTTCTAAGCCACGTTGTATAAGAATTTACACATAACTCTCCATTAACTTGCACGTTTTAGCTCATTTCATTCTTTCACTATGATGACAAGAGTAATGACTGCTCCAAAGTTACTCCAATCTTTCTGCCTCCTATTAACCAAAAATGTGATTTGCAGAGCTCTTAATTGTCACAAAAATAATTAAGACAAAACTACTTGTATTCAGATTACGACCTTAATGACTTCAGGGTCTCAGGGTGACAGATGTGCAGATAGCTGTTGTTCATCAGTCACTGGGATTTCATCATACAGAGCCTGGGAAGGAATACTTAATAAGGTCTCAGAAAACAAGACTCATTTCTAACTTCAGTGAATTTCTAATGAGGCAGCTCTCGAGTTGAACAATGACTGATTCAGGCTCCATGGACAGGAGACAGGATTCTGATGTGCACTAAATACATCTCGGATAACAGTTGGACCTTTTGTCAGCTAATATTTATGCAGTGTTTCCCTGTGCCAGAGGTACTGAGCTAAATACTTTACAAGCATGATCTCCATCCTTATGCAGCCCATGAGGTGAGTAGCATTATTTTCATATCGTTTCACAGCTGAGGAGACTGAGGTTTTAAGGGGTTACTAGTTTACTCAAGGTAGAGCCAGGATTCAAACGCAGACAACCTGAAGCCAAATTTTTTGCTCTGAACCACTGTACTATACTGCCTTCTGTCTCCTTCTAGAAGAACTCCACTGAGGAGTGAGAAAATCTGCACTTGCATTTGAAACCCTCTTAATTGCCAAAGTAATAAAGGCAGTCGCGTTTATGCTGAAGAATCCTCTTACTGTATTTTCTAGTGTGAGAGCCTCAGAAAGGATGATTCCGCCAGAGATATGCCAGACAAAAAGTGTATCTCCCAGGAAGTTGTTCGTTGACGCGCTATTTTTAAATGGACGAAGTAAACTGTTTTCCCATTGCCATCCCTGAAAGACAACTCACACATTTCTCAGTATGGTGTAGCGGGTTCCTCACAACCCAACCACAACCTGGCCTCATGGCCGAGGTCTCCTCACTACCTCACCACCTGTCTCCACCCCGTTTCCACTCAGTGTCACTCTGACCTTCAGATTTCTTCTTCCTGGAATTCCCTTCCTTCTTTTTGCCGGGTTGCAAGCCTCCACTCATCTTTCAGGACCTCGTTTGTGGCCTCCTCCTCCATACAGGCTTCCTATAGATGCTACAAAACAGAATTAATCACTCCTCTGCACTATCATGCATTTCTATCGATGCCACAGGTATTGCTCTTATTTGCTCTCTTGTAACTCTCTGTTCAGTTGCCTCTTGCCCCCAAAGCTGGTCAGTATTGACACTATTTTAAGTCCCGCAGCAGAGAACGGTGATCTCAGTTGCTATGCTCTGCGTGTCAGTTTCCCTCGGCCAGCGTGTGTCTCTCTATTCTTTATGCTCAAGAAACATGAAGTCTCATATCCACAAGATAACAGATGCCATTTTTCCCTATCTTGGGTGCAACCAATCTATGACCTTTCAACTTCAAGCTCATTACCAATCTCCTATGTTTGAACAGTTCATCTATAACTTAATAATCAGAATGCAGAAAGCAAATATACAGCCAAGATGCCCAGTGTGTTAGAGGAGCAGCAATCAGAGTGGAAGGAAGGTTCATAAAGGATATTGGCTCCTTTTAGGCCTTTTAAAAACTCCCCACGCAAAATAAAAATGACCCTCCAGGCACACCTCTAAGAGATCCATTCAGCTCGCTTCCCAAAGACCTGTGAGGGGCTTATTCGTACTCCCTCCACCCAAGTTCCTTGCTTCTCACTTCCCATCAGTGTCCATTTATTCTGGTCTACACCTTGCCTGTTTCTTCTTGTCCCCCTGGACTGAGGACTCAACTTTGGTCTGGGTTCTGCCCCTGCACATCTTTGGATGCTGTTCCTAACAACTGCCCCTGGGCTACACACATTGCTGCTGAGTTGAAGTGAGAAAACCCGCAAGCCTGCACACTGTCCACTCCCTGGAATAACATCCTGATAGGACCCACAGGAGTTGCCAGTAGGGAAGTGCACAGACAGGCCCATTATATGACTGTGAAGGGCCTTATCACCTGTAAAGGAGTTGCCTTGAGCCTTTGGGTTTCGGGCCGCCATCACCACAGGGGAGGATTGGGGCCAGGTCTGTGTTTTTTTTGTTTTTGTGTGTGTGTGTGTGTGTGTGTTGTTTTGTTTTGGTTTTTTTTTTGCGGTACGCGGGCCTCTCACCGCTGCGGCCTCTCCCGCTGCGGAGCACAGGCTCCGGACGCGCAGGCTCAGCGGCCATGGCTCACTGGCCCAGCCGCTCCGCGGCACGTGGGATCCTCCCGGACCGGGGCACGAACCCGCGTCCCCTGCACCGGCAGGCAGACTCTCAACCACTGCGCCACCAGGGAAGCCCAGGTCTGTGTTTTAGAAAGCTGCCTCGAATAGGTATGAAAATGGATTTGAGGGGGACAAGCCTGAAGCCAAGGACACTAGTTAGAAGGTACTAAGCAATCCAGGTGAGACTGATAAAGCGTCACCCTAAGTAAGGAAGAGCAAATACAACAGGGGGATACATTTGAGAGGCATTTTGGAGTTAGAGTTGACATGCTTCGGTGAATACTTAAACATAGGGGACAATGAAGAAAATATGCTGAGGATAGCTCTGAGGTTTCTAGCTTTAAAAACTGGGAGGATGGTGACGCCATTAAAAAAGCAGGAAGGGGCCTTCCCTGGTGGCGCAGTGGTTGAGAGTCCGCCTGCCGATGCAGGGGACACGGGTTCGTGCCCCGGTCCGCGAAGATCCCACATTCCGCGGAGCAGCTAGGCCCGTGAGCCATGGCCGCTGAGCCTGCGCGTCCGGAGCCTGTGCTCCGCAATGGGAGAGGCCACAACAGGGAGAGGCCCGCGTACCGCAAAAAATAAATAAATAACTACATAAATAAATAAATGTCCTTGGATGAAAGATACCTTCATTACAATGATTCCCTATTAGTAAATTCCCAAAGAATACAACTCTTTTTTTACTGAGGTATAATTAACATGCAAAAAAGCTGTCCATGTTTAATGTATACATCTTGATGAGTTTGAAGATAATATACACCTGTGAAACCATCACCATTAAACAATATCATAAAACATAACCATGACCTCTAAAAGTTTCCTCCCTCTCACTCACTTTTTTTTTTCCCCAAAAACAATTTCTGTCTTAGATTCATAACTTTTGGAGGTCAGGATGTGGGGAAGTGGGAAATGGGGACTGAGGCAGAGGAAAGGAGAGACTATTGAAAAGAGAGTGGGCAGCAATAATGGAAAATGTGTTGGCACCATCTGGAGCACCTTCTGTATCAGCCTCTTACAAGCCTGGCAGCTGCAAGGGCCACATTCCAGGGCTCACAAAGTGGGTGTTGCCCAAACTGAGCAGTCATATCACCAGAGATGGGAGGCAGAATCATAGGAGGAGACTGCCTGAGAGGCACAAATCCTGCATTTTCTGCCAACATGAATCCACAGACAGGGTGAGAATTCCAGGGAGATTTCCAGATTGCTTCACCTGGAAGAAAAGAAAAGAGCAAAGTAGCTGTCAGAGCCACCCCCCACAGCTGATAGCCTTCTGTTTGTGATGGGTCAGGCAGGGGAGGCCCTGGGAACCCAATTCACATCACCCGAGACAACTATTACTTGCTTCCCCTCCTTCTAACTTATCTTTCTCAAGGCAGGGTTCCTTTTCAAATGGTAAAAATGGACTTCCATTTCCTATGAGTAGGTATTACTATCATGCTTTATAAATGAGGAGACTGAGGTACAGAGAAGTTAAGTAACCTGCCTGAGATCACACAGCTTGGAACCAAAGATGTCAGAATGCAAACCAGGCAGTCTGACTCCGGAACCTCCATCTTTATTTAACCTCTGCACTAAATTTCTTCCCCAATAAGCTCTCTACAGCAAGAGGTAATGAAAAAGAGCAAACAAATTTTTTGAAATAAGAAATATAATTACTGGAACAAAAGATTAAAGAGTAGATTGGACAGAATTGAAAGAACTAGAATTGGAAGTTAAATTGGGGAAAATTACCCAGAATATGATATGGAGCGATAAAGAGAAAAAATAAAATATTTGGAAGATAAATGAAGGCATTCCAACGTTTATTCACTAGAAGTAGCAGAAATAGTGAATCTAGATGGTCAGGGAGAGCAAAAGAAGAATTTTTCAGAATTAAATATTAAAATTCACATCAAAGTACACTTGGTCTTTGACAATCGGACACTATTTTGGCATTTATTTGGAGAGAACGTCATTGCTACTACACTCCTGCTTTTGTGGAGAATTTTTTTCTGCCTCAGAAGAGTTAGCAGCTGAGTGTTTAGCTCCTGACCTACCTGTAACTTATAGGCAACATTACTGCTATTTAAGTGATTATTTGCCTAACAAAGGGTGTTTTGGTTTTTTCTTTTTGGTAGATTATACAGTGCACAACTTTAGTGACTAGGTATGTGGATGATTTGGTGCGAGTAAGTGTACAAAACTTAGCGGAGTGGTATGGTATATTTTATGGAAGAGAATTCATTGGAGGGAAAAGTAAAGTATATCGTGAAGTGGGATTTAAACAGCAGGTACCCTCTGGTTTGCAATTTATATACGCTGTCTTACAAATTTTGCTCCTGTTACCTAAAGGAGAACTCCTAAATCTGTTAAGAAGGCCATGCCTGCCACAATGTTAAAACAGTGATTTTAACCCTGCCCCAAACCATCAGATTCCTCAGGATTTCAGAGAAGCTGCCTAATGGTTAGAATTAGAAGCTGTGGTAGAGATGATTTGGGTTATACTGAGTTCCATATACAAGTGGATGTGAAATCCTGATTAAAGCAAACCTACTACTTACCAGACAGTAACCTCTAACCTCACCTCCAACCCCCAAGTATGTGGCCTTGCTGGGTCACATGGTGACTAACGTTTCCCAGATTTCCTCTAAATTCAAGGTAGTAGCCCAACTGAACTGGGGGAGGAGGGAGTCAAGGAGGAAAGGCTATTGAAGATCTTTCTCCTACTCAAGAGAAATATATGCCCTAGAGCTGTGCCAGCACCCTTGATGTCTGATTTTTTTTAATTGAATATGGGTTAGAAGAATGAAATCAGATGACACTTGATTGCAAAAATGTTTATAAGCAAATAGCTTAGGCTTCTTACATTTTGGTGTAAAGCTGAAAACTTCCTAACTTTGTAAAGCAAGATATAAAGCAAATATAAGGGGATAATAAAGTTCTTTCACTAAAAAAAAAAAAAAAAAAGGCATACTGGCATTTATTAACAACACTATCTATTACAAATTACTTAACATCTCTGAGACTTAGTTTTCCCTACCATAAAATGGAAGTCATGAAAACTATTTCAAAGTTTTTCTTTATTTATGTTTGGAAAACGCTTAGCCCAGGTCCTAATACACAGGGACACTCAATAATTATTTATTAAATCAAAATTTATTTAATCAAATATTTTTATACTGTAATTCTATTTTTCTGATCTATTTCCTTACCAGTGTTATCTCTTCTTTTGTCAAAGTGTTCTGAAAATGAAGAGATTCATGGAATTCATCTTCATTATTACAAGTACTATTAACTTGACTTTTATACTATCTTGATATAGAACACAGTGAGTGCTTTCAAAGACAAATACTGTATGAATTCACTCATGCGTGGAATCTAAAAAAACAGAACAAAACAAACAAAACAAAACTCATAATACAGAGAACAGATTGGTGGTTTCCAGAGGGGAGGGGGGCAAAATGGGTGAAGAGGGTCAAGAGGTAAAAAATTCCAGATAAATAAATAAGCCATGGGGATGTAACATACAGCATAGTGACTATAGTCCGTAATATTGTACTGAATATTTTAAAGTTGCTAAAAGAATAAATCTTAAAAGTTCTCAGCACAAGAAAAATGCTTAATAAGCATTCCTAATTTAGCCTTGAGAAGAAAGTTTTAAAAATAGTGACAGGGGCTTCCCTGGTGGCGCAGTGGTTGAGAGTCCGCCTGCCGATGCAGGGACACGGGTTTGTGTCCCGGTCCGGGAAGATCCCACATGCCGCGGAGCGGCTGGGCCCGTGAGCCATGGCCGCAGAGCCTGCGCGTCCGGAGCCTGTGCTCCGCAACGGGAGAGGCCACAACAGTGAGAGGCCCGCGTATGGCAAAAAAAAAAAAAAAAATAGTGACAGTAACTAGACATTATGATGATCACTTTGCTGTGTTTGTGTCTAATCATTATGTTGTACACCTGAAACAAACATAATGTAGTATGTCAATTATACTTCAGTCTAAAATAAAAGACAGCAAGTGTTTAATAAACGTTAGGCCTGAAAATATGAAAAATGGAACATTTTGCCATTTGGTAATAATATCTACATATCATTTTTAAATGAAAAATCTGTTTTGTAACCATATAAAATGTATGTCTATAATCCATTAGATTTTGAAGATTTTATAACGGTGAAAAAGTGTAGACTTTAGAAACTGTGCCTTTTCCTTAATAAATTTTTTCAACCTCAAACTTTAGTTTGAACTAGTCTCACTCCAGACCGCCAAAATACTGACACATGAATGCCTTATGGCGCCATCTAGTGTCAAAGAGTTATTAATACAATCTGCTCTTCTAGGACTAAAGAATCCCTACTATACAGCGATTTCATGAGCCATTATTTGGAAGGGGCCAGTCCTTTGTCTCTGTTAGCATTATACTCTATACTTATTACCCGTTGAATTCATGTGTTTGTTGTTTTTTTTCGCACACATGACCTTTTCCCGTGTCCTGGACAGGTAAGAAACCCAGTCTCATTCCTCTCTGTGGCTACCATGCTGTTCGCAGTACCTGGAACAACGGATGAGAATAGAAACATAAACAACGTGGTAGAATTACAATGTGTTTTAAAAGGAAATAAATTATGGTCCAAATAATTTCCTTACAAGATAAAGGCGTATCTTTACAAAGAATAACAAAAATCTCTGGTGGTAAAATTATATACAATCATTTCTTCTGTAAGTTGCTTTTGTTGAGGCGTTTGGCATTTTGAGCTTTGATGGCCTGACTGTGTTGATAGCCCTACTCACAGAGCGCACCTCACATGTGTGTAGCAGTCTAGAGAGAGGCGCTGAGGCTAAGGGTTTGTGATGACAGTGTCCGCCTGATCAGAAGCACAGGCAGCCTCAGCTCTCTTGATCTGTATCCTTGGGGATGGTACACAAAGCCTCAGTGAAGAATAGCCCATTCTGTTTGTTTGATTATGTTTTTGCTTGTGTGTTTTTCAAAAGTAGGAATTGGTTTCTTAATTGTAAATTGAATTGTCTCAGATATTTCAACAAAATAAAGTAAAAAATTGGTATTTTTATTGCTTGTGACAAGTTGTTAGCTATTGGTAAGAAGTGTTTCTACGTTTTGCCCTTTTTGGATAAGGACATACCTGTGCGACACGACTTCCCAAGTTTGAGCAAATCCACTTGACTGCAGCTTCCCTGAAAGCATAAACAAATAGAGCCGCAGAATTCAGTGAGAGCAGGCACTTAAAGTAACAATAAGGTCGGTGTCCTTTCTTTTATCAGTATTTCAGCTCACAGAAATGCAGGCGCAAATGAAGTCTATCCCTGCTCCTGCCTCAAACTGAAGGTCATGATCACACTACGGTCATTCAGGTCGGGTTGACACAGGTGTCAACCCTGACCGGGAAGTCAGGCAGCCCTTTCTAGGCTCTGATGTTGGCAGCAAAAGGCGGGGCACTATGGTTACCAAGAATAGCTCATTAAAATAAGGTACTTTGTATAATGTGTCAATAAATTATAGAATAAGATATTTCTGCTCTGGATTTTGTTTGTTTTATTCCTCATAGGTAAAACAAAGGAGGGAGGAGGTGTTTGAATGTTAAAAGCTTGCCAAAATGACATAACACACTATCCTTGCATACGTATGTTTAGCTCTGTTCTCTATCCTCTAATTCATCTTTGGAATCATTTACAACTGAAAGGTAAAAAATCCAAGTTAATCAAGATACCATTTTTTTACTTATTTGAGTAGGCCAGATTCTTTTTAAACTACCAGTACCCAGTATATTGGCAAGGATGTAGGAGGTATAAACTTATATAAACTTTCTAGAGCATAAAAAGTGCATGCCTTTTGACACATCAATTCCATTCTGAAGATTTATCCCAAGAACAAATGTGGAAAGAAGGATGTTACATGGATTTTCATTATACCTTTTACTTATAATAACAAAGTTTTAGAAACAACCTAAACACTCAAAAATAGGATAAAGGCTAAATAAGTTATGATCTATCCACATGATGAAGCACCGTGTAATCATTTTTAAAAGTGTATGAAAGAATAAAGAGAAATTATTCACAATATAAAAATAGAGAAAAAACATACTATGAAACTGTGTGCATATTTACAAAGTATGGCAATGTGAGCAGTAGCTATCTTTGGGTGTTGTTATTATGGGTAATTTGATTTTCTCTTTGCAGTTTATGGATTTGTACAATGAGCATGTATGCCCATTGTAATCTGAAAAATAAACAATAAAGGTTGTCTATAAAAAATTAAGAAGAAGAAGAGTCATGTGTTGGATAGAGTCATGAGCCTGAATGAAGAAACAGAAACATCCCTTGTTCTTCCAAAATAATCATGACTCTGTAACTGCAACTCAGCAAATATAACAGGGGCCAGCCAAGTGTCATTGCTGTTTAGGACCTAGGTGATGGGATTACATGAAATTCCTCCAGCTTTTATTTTCATAATAACTTATCCTAATGTCCTGCAGCGGGACTAGCCTAGGCAATGTGCCTGTGTAAGGTTCATGCTGAGTCAGATGGTGAGAATGCGGCTCACACAGTGCGCCAAGACTACACAGTCATAGTTGGGAGAAGCTGCAGTGTGCACGGTGTTTCGGTAACCGGGAGGCTACAGCGTGACCACAGCTCATGGTGCAATTAGGGAACAGGGAGAAAACTGGAAAGATGACTTTAAATGCCTTGGAAAGATGGTGTGAAAGAATTCTACTTGGAATTTGGACATATTCAGTAGGTCGCTGGCAGGACATTTTTTCAAGCATTTTCAGCACATTTATGCCACAATTAACATCTGTGTTTTAGAAACGTGTGTGTGTATGTGTGTGTCATGTGGAAGATGAATTGAGAGAAAAGAAACCAGAGGCAGATTTGCCAGTCAGGAAGCTACTACAGTAGGGCAAATTTTAGGGCAAATAAATGGCCATTATCAAAAAGTCTACAAATGTTGGAGAGGGTATGGAGAAAAGGGAACCCTCCCACACTGCTGTAAATGTGATAATCCAAACTCGTAAATTGTAAATTGGTGCAGCCACTATGGAGAGCAGTATGGAGGGTCTCAAAAAATTAAAAATAGAGTTGCCAAGAGACTTCCCTGGTGGTGCAGTAGTTAAGAATCCGCCTGCCAATGCAGGGGACACGGGTTCATTCCCTGGTCTGGGAAGATCCCACATGCCGCAGAGCAACTAAGCCCGTGCACCACAACTACTGGAGCCCGCGTGCCTAGGGCCCATGCTCTGCAACAAGAGAAGCCACCATAATGAGAAGCCTGCACACCACAACGAAGAGTAGCCGCCGCTCGCCGCAACTAGAGAAAGCCTGCATGCAGAAACGAAGACCCAACATAGCCAAAAAATTAATTATTTTTTTTTTAAAAATAGAGTTGCCAAATGATCCAGCAATCCCTCTCCTGGGCATATATCTGGAGAAAACTCTAATTTGAAAAGATATATACACTCCAATGTTCATAGCAGCACTATTTACAATAGCCAAGACATGGAAACAACTAAATGTCCATCAACAGATGAATGGATAAAGCAGATGTGGTGTATATATATAATGGAATATTACTCAGTCATATAAAAAGAATAAATACCATTTGCAGCAACATGGATGGACCTAGAGAATATCATACTAAGTAAGTTAGACAGAGAAAGACAAATATCATATGATATCACTTATATGTGGAATCTTAAGAACTGATATAAAAGAACTTATTTACAAAACAGAAATAGACTCACAGACATAGAAAACAAACTTTATAGTTACCAAAGGTGGGGAGGGATAAATTTGGAATTTGGTAGATACAGACTACAATATATAAAACAGATAAACAACAAGGACCTACTTATAGCACAGGGAACTATAAACAAAAAATAAAAATAAGAGGCCTGAAATAGGACTAGAACAACAGAAATGGTGGTGAGAAGGAAATAGGTTAAAGGGGCATCGTGGAGGTGGAGAGAACAGGGCGTGGTGATCCAGTGGAATCAGAAAGTGACTGAGAAAACATTTAGGTGACTGACTGCTCAACCGTGATGGTGGAACCAGCACACACTTTGGAAGTTTTGATTATCACAATTTATGTGAGTGGAAAACATCCTACAACTACAAATCTGGTCCCCTTTAGCACGTGACAGTGTGCCACTCTACTCTTAGCTTCTTATAGCCACAAAGAGCCCCTACAAACCTTGGAGCAATAAATGGAATTTATTACTATATGTCCAGCTACCTCTGCATCAAGCACAAGGTCAGAAGAGCAATGATATGTATAACTTAAAACTGGATATTTTTTAAATATTAGTTTTAGAATATAAGTTTATTTTTTTTTAACTTTTAATTTTATTTTGGAGTATAGTTGATTAACAGTGTTGTGATAGTTTCAGGTGTATGGCAAAGTGATTCAGTTATGCATATACATGTATCTATCCTTTTTCAAATTATTTTCCCATTTAAGTTGTTACATAATATTGAGCAGAGTTCCCTGTAGGTATATTTATTAAAGAAGCACATTTTGACCTAACCCTCCCACCAAAAAAAAGAAGAATTCATTACAGGTATAGGGTTTTTTTGTTGTTGCTCCTACTGCTACAATTTTACTATTAAGTGACATGTGAAGCAACATCCTCAGCTTTTACCTGAGCCTCGTGTCACCTCTCAGGGTCGGGGCTCAAGTTGGGCCAGACAGAAGGGGGCTGGTGGGTGAGGGTGATAGTTTTCCTCATCCAGCAGGGAAGCCACATTTGAGTCATATGTCTGTCTCACTGGCTCCCTGTGGAAACTGCAACAAATCCTTCAGGCAAAGCTTATGTGTATTTTCTGGTCATTGACCCCTATAGGCTGCATCTCACTTCTCATATTCCTCTCATCTACTTACATTGGTAATGTTCATTGGCTGAACAAATTTCAAAATCGGCATTATACTTTTGAGAGTATATTTACCATTAACTTGGAAAGGCTACTACAGTCCATTGAAGACTTAAAATAGAACCTGGTAAATATATGGTTATATTATTCTTTTTTGTTGTTGTTGTTGTTGTTGTTGTTGCGGTACGCGCGCCTCTCACGGTTGTGGCCTCTCCCGTTGCAGAGCACAGGCTCCGGACGCGCAGGCGCTGCGGCCATGGATCACGGGCCCAGCCGCTCCGCGGCATGTGGGATCCTCCCGGACCGCGGCACGAACCCGTGTCCCCTGCATCGGCAGGCGGACAGCCTGTGCTCTGCAACGGGAGAAGCCACAACAGTGAGAGGCCCACACACCGCAAAAAAAAAAAAAAAAAAAAAAAAGAAATAGTCTTTTGATAGCTTAGATAAATGATCCCCAAACTTATCTAGTTTTTATCAGTAAATGTATTTATATATTTATATTTAAAATTATTTGCAAATACTATTATATTAATAGAGACTTTAGGGAAAATACACAAACTAGTGATTTCAAAATGGCAAACTAAAGGTAAAATAATATTTCTTTAATTTAAATTTTGTTTATTAATGATAAAATGTCATTTGTTAATAAAATATATTTCACTTTTATTAAAATATATATTTTATAAGATCATATAATTAATTATGCTTCATTATTGTTGGAAACCTTGTCTAAGCTTTGCAACATTGTAATTAGATGTTTGTTTCTAAATGAGATGTATTTCTCTGCTTGTTTTGAATGGCTGTCACAGTTGTGAAATGTCCTCACATAGATGTGTACATTCCAATGGAAGCAATGTATCAAAAGTTGCATTTTCTAAGTTACAACACATATTTCAACCTATCTGCCAGTTATATACAGGCTTTTGATAAAGTTGTGTTCATAGGTTTCCTTCCTTCTTGAAGGCTTGAATAGGTAGGAATTTTGAGGACCCAATTCTGGACTGATTTTTCCCTCCTTTTTTTTTCTCTCTTTTTCCATCCAGCAGCTACAGGGTTTTGTTTGTTTGTTTTGGTGTTTTTTCTTTCAAGACTTTAAAGAAAGCCCTATTTTCAGAAACACCCATATCTGAACATGGAAAACAGTTGCTCCTGTAATACTGGTCTTTCATGGAGAATAATTCCCACTGGGAGCAATGCACTGTCCACTAAGAAGACTTTTGTTCACGGGGCACTTTACAGTGGCTTCTGTGTACAGTCACATTTCCAAAGTGCCACCTTCCTCCCTGGCTTTCCTGCCAGACAGCGGTGAG